ATATGGGTATTTTCGGAACGGAGACAACGCGTGGCTGCCGAAAATCGATATCCGATGCTATGTTGGACTCCAATATGGCGACCATCGGGTTTCACAAAAAGTGTCAAATACCCTAAGATCTGGGTGTTTCGGAACGAGGACGACGCGTAGATGCTGAAAATCGATATTGGATGCCATTTGTAGGCTATTTGACACTTCTTCTGAAATCGGAAGCCACCATTTTGAATTTCAAGATGGCGTCGGACATCGATTTCTTTCTTCTAGATGTCAGCCCAATTCCAAAAAATCTACATTGATCGGTATTTGACAGTATTTCACAGTTTTTCTGTACCAAATCCGCCATCTTGGATTTAAAGACGGTGTGACATCATTTTTCGGCATCTACGTCTCATCCCCATTATGAAAATAACCATATTTTAGGATATTTGACACATTCAAAGTGTTTTTTATGTTACTTCATACGCGAAGTTAACGATTTCAGAGTTGGTTGGAAATGCTAACATGAAGCTTTAGTGTGATGATTTATTAGCTAGAGAATGATCTTTAGAAGAGGGTAGGTGGATAGTTCCGTTAGAGTACGGCAGTACGTGGGGCTTTAGGTAGTGATGAAAACGTCGCTAGAACTATTCCACAGCCGCAGTCAGTTTATGAGCAAAAAGAGGGACGCACATTTTTGCCTGTGGACTTGGAGACATACTTCAAGTCCCCGCGTACATCGTACGGGTTAGGCAAAAATGTGCGTCTATATTGAAAAACTGACGCATTAATGGCCCTTCGATCATTTTCAACTTCTATTCAATTTTCATACTGCCGTACTCTAACGGAACTATCCACCTACCCTCTTCTAAAGATCATTCTCTAGCTAATAAATCATCACACTAAAGCTTCATGTTGTTATTTGGCACTTTTCCGCAAATCGGAAGCCGCTGTCTTGGATTACAAGATGGCGTCGGATATCGATTTCCGGCTTCTAGACGTTACCCTGATTCTAAAAAAACCGTTTGTATGGGTATTTGATAGAATTTACAACTTTTTCTCAAACCGGAAGCCGCCATAATGGATTTCAAAATGGTGTCGGATATTGATTTCCAATCTCCAGACGTCACCCCGACTCCAAAAATACCCATATTGATGGGATGGAATCAGTATTTCACATTTTTCTGAAATAGGAAGCCGTATTGGATTTAAAAATGGCGTCGGATATCGATTTCCGGCCTCTTGACGCCATCCCGATTCAAAAAATACCTATATTGATGGGTATTTGACAGTATTTCCCACTTAATCTAAAATCGGAAGCCACCATCATGGATTTCGAAATGGCGTCGCATATCAATTTTCGATCTGTAGACTACATACCGATTACAAAAATACTAATATTGATGTGTATTTGACTGTATTTCCACTTTTTCGTAAATAGGAAGCCGCCATCTTAGATTTCAAAATGCCGTCGGATATCGATTTTCATCCTCTAGACATCATCCCGGTTCCCAAAATACCTTTATTGATAAGTATTTGACAGCAATTCCCACTTTTTCTTAAACTGTAAGCCGCCATCTTGGATTTCAAAATTGATGGGTAAAAAAACCACCCGACAATGATTAATTTGACATCCACGTGCACAGATCTCACAAAAGTCATAAAAACTGCACGAATTCGGATCGAACAGCTTCGCTTCAATGCATGCAAAAGTAAGTTCATTTGACAATGAAAGAAGAAATGAACACGAGTCAAGCCAAAACAAACAGCATGAAAACTGATCGAAAGTGGTTCTTTTGATGTTGACGGGAATCTGCTCGAAGAGAAGACAGAATGACTTTCAATTGAAAGTGATGGTTGACAGCTTCATCGACGATTTTCGATTGAAAGTGACTTTGTGGGGCCCTGGTAAGGTCTAACGGAAACGAACCACGGACCGCTTTTAGAGAAAATGATCACAATTTTGAATAAGCTTGTAACAGCTTTTAAATAAAATCATAATATTATTTGAAATAAATTGGCCAAAATGTTAAACAAAAATTGATAGTAGTCTACCACTCATTGTAGCACGGAAACTTCTCCGATAGCTGTTGGCTCTCCTCATTGCTGAACTTGATCAAGTTCAATAACCTCTGATTGTCATCAGTAAATCGCTGTATGAAGGGCCAAACACGAATGGATGGATTGATAGGCAATTCGCCTATAATTTCCTTGGGAACAACTTGATCAGCAAATTGGTCAGAAAACGACCCATCCAACAGGAAGATGCCCCAATGAATGGGGAGCAGAGCTTGCCTTTTATCCACGAAACTTTCAGCAATAGGGGGATGACATTTTCGCTCTCGCCGACCAAATAGCTTCAATTGCCGGTTGCCTGATGGTCACTTCTCATCTCAAATTTTTAATAGATAGTAATATGTATAACGTCCAGTGTTCGGAAAAACTCAAAAACTCAAATTACAGAGTCGAGGATTCTTATTCACTATAGTGTAAAACTATAGTCAAAAGGTACAACACAATAAATACTGCATCTTCCGCTGTCCAATGAGCCTCCTCCATCAGAACGGGATCCGCTTCCAGTGGTTTCATTGAATGGCAGTATCGTCAACGAGGGGCAGAGCGCTTCAATTGCCAATGCAATGGACGCAAATTGTGGTCATCACTCACACACTCATCACGAAACGGTTGCTTTCTAAAGTCGACGTCGCATCGACTGAAATAATTGCTGATGAAGAACAATGAGGAGGACCACACAATGGTTGCTGCCGAGTAAGCAGACGATCGCATGACACACATCGAGAGTGTCGACAGCCGAGTGAACACTGGTCTATGAGTTTTGCCTGCCTGCTGAGTTTTCAGGTTCAAAAATTCATTTCTTTTTATGTCGGCGTTATTAATTGTTATTACTCTTGTTTGTGCAGCAGGGGTTGGAAAACTAATACAACATGCATAAGCATGCGATCAATTGTCGTTTGAGTGGTTTTTTTGAGTTTAAATCTGGAATGATTTTTCGGCATTGTGAGTGTGAGTGCGTGAATATGCATGAGAATCTCAAGCATGATTTTTGCTTGCCACAAATTTTTCAAAAATTGTGAAAATGAACATTTTTTTCGGTTTCCTGTACACCTGTGACATCTATTGCAATAATCAACAAATCCATTAAACAGCTTCCGAAATATTAAGCCATTTATTGGATACTCAAAAAAATAATAAACGCACAAAAAACTTCAAAAGCATATAATTTTGATCTTACAATATGAGGAGTTTTGTTAGATCTAAATCAACAGCAAATCAGTGTTTAGATGAATGATGCTAGTTTTCATGATAGGCATTTAAATTAAATCAAATTGATCATGAGCCAAAATATGTGGACGATCTAGTTTAAAATTATGCTTCATTATAGTCCGAGTCGGTACGTTTTTTTTTTGACCCTGACTCCAGCCCTGATGGATGAATAACTACTATTTAAATTAATTATGTCTATGAATCTGTTGTTTTGCAAACATTGTCTGCCATCAAATGCATGCAACACACAGTAGCATAAATTTTCCCAACAATGAAATCAGTTCATCGGTGAACATTTTCAAGGTTAAGTTCAAGATACATTGTGCTCCAGCAATCTAAAACGGCGTCTCACAGGCGAATAATCTAATTAGTGATTAAGTATGAAGCGGCGCAGACGCCCGACCCTATGCAGCTGTTGGACATATATTTAAATTAAGGTCATTGTGTGTCCACTTTCAAGGTATGTGGTAGGGAATCTCGGAAGCAGAAAGTGGTCGTCTGTCTGTTGAAAGTTAAGCTACAAGGTTGGTTTTTTTTATAGAAAGGAAGTATATTCTTCACCAATGAATTAAATAAGGCACTGATTAAAGCGAAGAACGAGATGCGAGTAGTTTTCAGTGGTGGGAATGAACTATGGTTGTTCTTGAAAAATCTCACCGTAAAACTGTTGAATTACCACAATGTCCCACGCAACTGATTACAATTGCACAAAGGAACAACATTGGCTCGATTTTCAATAAGGAAGCTGTGAGGTGCTAGTTTACCCCAGGCATCACCCGAGAATGGATGCTGTTATTTTACTTCCCCAAAAAACGAATCCAACAAACCATGGTCGCTGTGCACACCATCCATTCGAGTTTCGAATTCAATAAGAACTTATAAACGGCGGTGTTTAACATTGAACTCGGTTGCTTGAACTCGCAGTCAGACATGGATGCTTGATTGTGCTTCAGATGATAGTGGAATGCAACCAACCGTTCCTTTCACTTGACCTTGCCTACTTGGATAGTGGACGATGGCGGTGGCAGTTTACGACTGAGTGAACGAACGAATCAACGGATTGTGGTGTAAAATTCGAACAAGGGTTGCTGAGATTACAACCCCGTACAAGGTTTCCCGCAGGGGTGGCCCTTCGTCGTAGGTAGATAGGATGTCAATGGACTTGAGTCGTCTCAACAACAAAGGAAACCTTGTGGAATCAGGTGATGAAAATCAAGGTTCCGAAGGGTATAATAGACTTCCTGATTGATTTTTTTTCCACTCATTTCTGAGTCTTGTGTTTACAACTTAGATATCCTGAGTGATATGAGATTTGGGCGTAATTGCTTTTGTAAACAAAGACGTCAATTGCCAATTTCTCTTGAGATAAAGCTTAATCTCATAAACAAACTATACCAAATTATAGAGGAATCATTCCTCTACCTCACAGTGATATTAGTTTTTGAGATTGAGCTTTTATTCGCGTGAAATCGGTGATTGACGTGTTTGTTTACAAATGCAATTACGCCCAAATCTCAAATTATTCCGGATATATATGAAAATATCATCATCCAAAATATGTAAGTATTTTTAAAAACTAATACATTGAAAAGATAGAGCTTTTTGTGCTGAACAATGTTTGTTATGCGCATACTTTTGTTATATGTGAAAGTATTTTGATATATTTAGCCATGGTGTTCCGCTCTCTGTCTGATATAAGATGAAACAGAACGATCACATACATAAACCAAAGTACTTACCTTTACGAAATAAGCATAAAGCAAACTAATAGCGATGGTGGGAAAGGGTGAACTCATCAGGGGCCAATCGTTTGTTCGAGGATCTGACAGTTCATCCATCAGGTATCGCCATCCTCCGTATACGTTGTTTATTAGATCCATCTGGAAGGAAATCACAAACGAAATTAAAAAAATTAATAATCACTCTCAGTGCAAAAACTACTTGAACTTCAAACACCAAAAGGCCGAAAAGAGAAGCGTGTGAAGTGACTTCAAATGGCGTCAACTTAACCACGATTAAGCATCATCGTCACTAATCCGATTTGTGGCAAACGCTTCCGTTAGCTCAAATTTCGCCAGTAGCGTCATGCCCTCTAATGACTGATGAATGCGGTCATCGAAATTTTCTTGGGTGTTTTCTATTCATACATACGTTATTTATTATTATTTTTTTGCGAGCGGGTACTCAACCTTTACCCCGCATTCTTCCAGCATACAATGTTTCCAAATTCGGTTTATGCTTTGTCATGATGCCTGAATTTAAATCCATGCAGCAAGCGTTATGCCAAACTAACCTAACCCGGCGAAGTGAACAGGTCGCCTAGAAACAGACGGCGGGGAGCGCAAGGGGATCTAATGACCATGACGGATTGGTTTCGTTTCTTTCAACAATTTGCGAACGCGCGCTGTTCACTTGTTGTTGGCGATGTTTTGAATCAAATTGGTCGCTACTTGACCTCCTTGACCCACTTGGGACTGATCACTGGAATGTGAATTCCAAAGGATATTCAAATAATGCTACTTATTGAACTGTTAGGTATTGGAAGATATGTCGATGGATTATATAAAATTATGGATCAATTCATATTACGCATAGTATGTATAATTTGAGTTCGTTTGACCCATGTACATTAATACCAGCCGGTGGAAACTAACGATTTTAAATTGGCTCACTACTTGACTAGCCTATTGGTCCCAAGCAAATCGATTAACCTACCACATTCAGGTCTAAATTCTAGTACTACACTATGTTTGTTTTGATTCGCTATGAATGTTTGATAGATAAAATGAGGTGCTCGTGGATTTTCCTATGTTTCGAGGGGTGCATCGATTAGCTGAACCAAAAACTTGAGCACGTTTCTTCGGGTCCTACTAGTCTTAGAGTTCCCTCTATGATTCCAATGCTTTGAATTTTTATAGAGAAATAAAATTCGACGTTATATACTTACTGTTAACATAAAGAAAGGTGCCGTTAATTTGAAGTTGTAACGTGAAAAACACTGCGTCAAAGATACATTCAGTAAGAGGTAACTCTAAGACCAGAAGCTCCCGAAGAAACGTGCTCTACTTTTTGACTCAGTTCTAGTCGGACCTGGTGCGCATAATAGCGCATCATTGTGCGAATACAGCGCACTATGTCCGACATTATGTTTAACGTACAGAACAAGAGTAAAATAGATGTTTGCGTGCGGTGTTTTCCGGTTTTCAACTGTACCGTTAATAACAGATTGTTGTGAAAAGTAATAATACAAGAGCATTTCATAATAAAAAAAAAAAAAAAAAAAAAAGTTTGACTATCCCCTCGATTCTTTGAGTCGTTTGGAAACTATTACACTTTGACAGATTGATGTCTATGTATAACACTTCAAAGCCCAAGAAAAGCTTCAACTTTTGAGGGACTGAAATTCGTGCACCCTATACGAAAAGTAGGCGTTTTGTATGAACTTTACGAACTATAATTCATTTCTAAGGTGTATAGATTTCGATCGCCCACGGTTTGTGATATTACCATAACCGAATGGACTGAAACTTGTTAAATCGAAAATTTCGGTTTGAAGCCAAATCGTGAGCTGTTGTAGAATGGAATCTTTTTTGTAAACTGGTTTGACACGTGAATCTCGAACGTGTGTCAACGTACGAATGATGATGAAGCAACCAGTTTTGCATGATATTGAATAAATTGAAAAGATCCCTTTTTCCATTGTGGAAAATCTTTCATTAATCAAATTAGCCGTTAGATTGTTTGCCGCCAAACTGAAATTTATTCGCCCAGGTGGTGGACGGGTAGGTATTGCATACATGCGACGTGGTTTCAGGTTTACATAGAAAGGTATCTTGAAGAAGATCATTGCGGATGTTGATTAAAATCTGCTATGGCAAACTGTGGCCTCGGAAGCTTCTGGAATTCATGCATCCAGAGTATTTTAGGAACAATAAGATTATAAAGCGTGATATTCAGCGGCGCCGATGGTGTAGTGGTTAGCGTGGTTGCCTCTCACTCAAATGGGCCTGAGTTCAATCCCAGTCGGCGCCCCCGGGATTTTCTGAGTCATAACTTCTCTGATCACGCCTTCGGAAGGGAAGTAAAGCCTTTATTCACCGGTGCGTGAGTTGATCGACAAGATCGACAGAAAACAAATCAAGGGGGGAAAGCGTGGTAGGGGAAATGGGTTGGCCTATGGACCTAAGATTGGGCCCATCGCTAAAAATCTGCTATTTATCAATTTTATTCAGATGAACGCGTCATTGGGACGGTACTAATGGATATTTTGTATGTATGGGCCCAAATAAGGGGCATTTAGGTCGACAGAAACCACACAAACCTAAAAGGGCAATTGCAGTATGAGATCGCAGCCAAATGAGCTCAAATTTTGGAAGAATGATCAGGACCTGTTTTGTTGGAATCGGTTGAGTGAGGTAGAGCCAAATCGATATTTCGATCCACCCTATCATATACAAATAAATTGATTAAAAACATAAGGAACGTCTAAAGAATTTAGAACAATCCCAAAGAAGGGAAAGCCTTAAAGACCTCTAAAGCGTATTGGATCTTATGATTATCATTACCTTTAATTTTTGAGCAGTTCCACGGTATATTTGATCAACATGACGTCTGACGTTGTAGGTTATAGTATGGTCCAGCGTGGTGCCAGCTCATGTTCAATATTGAGACCAATTCGCTGTTCAACGGAGAGCGATTACTCATTGGCTAAACATTACACAAGCAAGCGTTGATGATGTTAGTAATTGTTGAAATTTTGGCCGTGATGCTAGAAGATTGCAAAAATGCGCTGCATTGGCATAGCAACGGCAGCGTGAAAATAAACATGGCTTTTGAAAGCGGCGGCTTGTATACAGTAACGATATGGATTCAAGCTTATTTATTACTACGGATGTGGTTTCCGAGGTATTTTAAATGCACTGGCGGAACATTTTAACGGTTTCAAATATATTTAATTCTAATCCAGTGCATTCCATAGAAAAGTGTATTTTTTCCAAACTGATTTTTATATATTTGATAAAAATTACGTCTGAGAAAAAGTTGTAAGCAATAGTATGCTCCTGGGCCTGGGTGGTGCCAGTTCATGTTCAATGTTGAGACCAATTTCCTGTCAAATTACACAAGCAAGCGTCGATGATGCTACTCATGGCTCAATCGATTTTATTTTGCTAGTGAATGGAAAACTACTAGATAATTTTGGCAAGTCGACAGTGAGCATGCATAAGGGCGTATACGCGATGCTCGATTCTCTTCATCGATATTATCTTTGTATTGCTACAGCTAAGCGAAACAATTTTCAAATTGTTTTGCTTTTCTCCAGTTGAGTCCTGCCAAAAACTCTGATCGAAGAGTGCTCGAGCCTCCATGATTCTTATAGCGAATTCGTTTATTTGCTCGTTTGTTTTTAAAACCTAGCTCAGCTTGAGGTTTGAACTGACAAAATTTCGGTTTCGAACTGGGTTGGAACTGGTTTCAACACCGATAATAAACGAATTCGCTATTAATAAAGTTTGTTTGCATTCTTGTTTCGCCAGAGTTTATGTTTGATTGGAATTGTAACACACAGCAGAGTCATGAAAACTGTGCTGGTTTTTGAGCTTTCTTCTCTGAGCCCCACGTTGATTTCTTGCGGTGAGCTTATATTTAATAATGTGTTACGAAAAAGTATGGTTAATTTCTATGAGATCGAGGAGGACGACTCGATCTGCGATGCCGGAAAGATTTTGATTTGGCATGGTTCTGGAGATTTATAGCAAAAAGATAATGTGCGATGCAAGTTGATGCGAGAAAGGAATGAAGATTTTTTGTATATTGATTTGCTAGTATGAATTGTTTCGAGCATCAAGAATTGAGATTTAGATGTGAAAAGATTCGGAGTAGGCTGAGGTCGGTTAATTTTAAAAACTATATCGGTTTTTATATATAATCTGAAAGAGCTTCGTTTTCTGAGCAGAGCGATATTTTTTTCGTAACCAACCCACTTACATCTCGATTTTTAAATCAAGATTTAAAGCAAAATAATAACTAAACTGACAAACTGACATCTCGCTCCCATACAAAGTGACACCGAGGGGCGCTAATAAGGTGATTTTTGCAAATGTAATCGTGCTTATTTAAAATAGTTCCAGTGTTTTGGATTGATTAAATTTTGGGTTTCGATTCCATTTTTAATGCAAATTACGAATATGCACTTACCTTTCTTGTGTTGAGGTTAATGCATATTCGTTATCTGCACTAAAAATAGATCCTAAACCTAAATGTTTTATCTTTTTTGGTGCACTGGAACTATTTTAAATAATTGCGATTACATTAGCAAAAATCAAAATCTTAGCGCCCCTAGATGGGACTTTGTATGGGAGCAATCTAGCAACTTGCAAGTTTCTAATCTAATCTTATCTAACACCAACACAGCCAGTTCATGAAAGCATCCTGGAAAATGATAAATATACCTCCATCATTTTTCTTGTCTATTTGGTATATGTTGCAAAGATGCGCAAAATACATCAAAACGGCCAGACCTACTGTGCAGCATTTAAGGGGCAAGATGATTTAGAAACATCGGGCCTGTTTAAGCCAAAGATTTAAACACATTGCTTCAGAATCCAATAAATGGATAAAATGTGGACATCTCGTACCGTACGTTCGGTTGTATTGTTATTTATAAATGATTGTCCGTTGGGAGCATCTAGTCTTAAAATTTAAGGGATGCTCCATTTTCCTTTAGTGGTCCGGACATGAGTACTAACTCTTGTCCTAGCCCTATATGGCCTATGGTTATAGCGCCTTTACTCGCTTTCTGAAAAGAAGTGAAGGATTTAAAAAAAAGAAAAGGGAAAAGATGCTGGTTTTGTGGGCATCTTTAAGAGAAAGTTCACCGAAA